CGTGAAACTTATGCCCCATCGAAAGAAAACAAATTCTAGTTGTAAAATTCTAACGAATTCATAAATATGCGTATATGATATATTATATTATATAGGGGATATCTCGCCTAAAATGAGAAACTATATATTTCACTTAAGCAAAAGAAAATAGGATGTCGTATGAATTACTCTTTACACGTTTGCAACAAATAAACTTGTTTAACGATATTTACATATTCGAAGAAATGAGCAGTTTGATAATTTCATTCTAGTCTGAAATACTAAGATTTTATTTGTCGCAAGGAAATACGTTTAAATTTACTTTTTCCTCGTTTATGCTTTAAACGTTATAAATTTTACTGCTGTAATTCGTTCGTAAATACTATCGCTAATATATTATCGTATATACCTTAATTACATTGTACTTATGCTACCGCTCGTAAGTTTGATCGCGCAATACTATTGATGTAATTCAATTCATTTTGATTGGTTTCATTTAAGTTAATGATCAGTTTCATATAAAACTGAAAAGAGCGAAGTTTATCATTCTCGCCTAATTCATTCTTTTTTCCGTACAGTTACTTTCAGTTTTACCGCATTTTTATTGGGGCTCTCGCTGCTGCTCGGACTCACCGATATCCAAATCTTGAGTATCCGAGTATTTGAATAGCCACTCAATTTAGACCCGAGTATTTACGGAATCTGAATATTGAGTATCTGAGAACGCATTTAGTACTCGAATTAGACCCGAGTATCCGGATTTATGGATATCCAAATCTTGAGTATCTGAGTACTCAGATAGCTACTCAATTTAGACCCGAGTATTCGAATAGCCACTCAATTTAGACCCGAGTATTTACGGAATCTGAATATTGAGTATCTGAGAACGCATTTAGTACTCAAATTAGACCCGAGTATCCGGATTTATGGATATCCAAATCTTGAGTATCTGAGTACTCAGATAGCTACTCAATTTAGACCCGAGTATTCGAATAGCCACTCAATTTAGACCCGAGTATTTACAGAATCCGAATCTTGAGTATCTGAATACGCATTTAGTACTCAATTTAGACTCGAGTATCCGGATTTATGGATATCCAAATCTTGAGTATCTGAGTACTCAGATAGCTACTCAATTTAGACCCGAGTATTCGAAGAGCCACTCAATTTAGACCCGAGTATTTACAGAATCTGAATCTTGAGTATCTGAGAACGCATTTAGTACTCAATTTAGACCCGAGTATCCGGATTTATGGATATCCAAATATTGAGTACTCGGATACTCAATTTAGACCTGAGTATCCGAGTACTCGCGTGATTTGGATTCGGATATCCGGATACATCCGTACTACCCTCACATCTGAGTACTCAGATAGCTACTCAATTTAGACCCGAGTATTCGAAGAGCCACTCAATTTAGACCTGAGTATCCGAGTACTCGCGTGATTTGGATTCGGATATCCGGATACATCCGTACTACCCTCACGATCAGTCTGTCGGATACTGCATATCAGTGTCGAACAGTCTCCTATACGTCCTAATTTTCGCAATTCTGCAATCTTAATCCTTTTACCTAAACCAGCTTTCTTCAATCTAAATCCAGACAAGAAAAGCTTCGTATTTGAGTAATTAGCAAAGGAAATTCGAATCCGGATACTCGGATGCAAGTCCGGATAGTAAGAGCTCTAATTTTAACAGACGCGATTAACCATAGTACGGTCTTCGGGTCTTTTCTGACCCATCGCTTTCTTACTTTTTTTAAAATAATTTTTGTTGTTATCGAGTATATGTTCCCTTAACATCATATCAAATATTTACCGTCTACCTTCGAAAAATTGTTACACATAAGGTCTTTGGGCCTTTTTTGACCAAAAAAGGCGTCAAAAAATCTTTGGGTCAAAAATGACCCAAAGACCTTAAAGTGTACGGTCGAACCAAAGAACGCGCTGGGGTTAAACTTCTGAGCGGTAGTTCGCTAATTCGTACCCTTAGATTAAAGCGTTGTCTATCGCAGAATAAGGAAATTAAACAAAAAAAGAAAAAACCGTACTATCCACGAATATAAGCTGTATATATTTGTGGTCCTTCTATGCGTATGAATTGTATGCGAGAATGCAAGAAGCATCCAAGAAATCAAAAACACGTCTGAACAGCGTTTGCCAATGTGGAATATTTAATACGTTAAGTCGCACGTGCGAGAAAAATCGACAGGCACTGCATGCGTATTCATATCGCTTGTCGTAAAAAAAAAAAAAACAAAAAAAGGAAACAAAGAAAATTTATTAAGCATATCTCTACTAAATTCTATATGTTCTAATCTAATTGCATTTTCGTCTTAAACGCACCTACAATTTATGCAGTGTCCGTCCAAGGGTATACTTTTGGAGAGAAAAAATGAAAGAAAAGAAAAAACAACTTCTTATTTTGTAATAACTTATATCATCGAGAAAATGTACCCGCGAAACAATAATTTGTACAAATGTTATACAATACACGTGTATTCGCAGCATAAAACGGTGGTTTCATTCGAAGATATTCGAGTTTGCTAGACGCGAATGCCACTTGTTCTGCTTCAACATCACCATTTATGTCTCTCTTTTTGCTAATTAACAGTCCCAACGAAACACCTTCAATTTTCGTCGTTGCAATTTCAATTTTCATCGTTGGAGAAAAAGAAAGAATGATAAAAACCGTCTTACTGAAAGATCTATCAGTGAAGAATTATTGGAACTGTTAGGGTAAATTGAAACGAGAAATTGATTTATTTTGAGATCAGTGTAAGAATTAGTAGCAAATAAGCAGATTTTATATGAAGAATGGATTGTCCTGTAACTTGAATCATCTTCGAGAATAATTAGTACGTACTTACGATATTAAATACCACAGCGATTCTACGATTGTATGGTGCTACATGTTACATACCGCCGAATATCAAAACTATTATCTACGTTTCGAATCAGCTATTGTTTTTTGCGTAGCTTAGTAGTAGATCGAAGTAGACATAGTGCAAAGTACGAAATAAGGAGCAGTACACCGATCTTGTATTATTTATTGTTCATTGTTTCAAGTACATCAAACCATTCCTAAATTGTAACAGTAATATTTTATGGCCATATTGCTGCTTCTCTATTTTCAAAGTGAACAACTTCTTTGCAACTGTAGATAAAGTAGGTCGCTGCATGAAAAATTGTTCATTTTGTACGTATGGCATTGTTTCGTTAGCTAGTTCGTCATTTCTCATACTTTGCATTTATAAAAATCGAAAGAACGTTATGTTCATGTATGTACGCATTGAAAATACTGCAGTGGATCATTAACGATACTTTTTTCTAAAAAGAAAAATTTTAATATCTTCGTTTAATTAATAACGCATATTAAGAAAAATCAATGCGCGAATGAAGATGCGAAAGGTGTTTAAAAAAGTATCGAGCCTAAATTTGAATTAAGACACTATGGCATATCGGCGTTGCACATCAAATATTTCTATGATTAACTTATTAATTCACTAATTTCTGTTACTGCGAGCTTTTATAATAAGACTTACATCGTGAATATTTCGAATTGTTTGCATATATAGATCGTTTACACATATGTGAACTTACGATATTTATACATATATATACATATATATAAATACATTGTAGGCGCTTGACTTCTCGAAAAATAATTTACAACTTATTATCTGGCGTAACACTCAGACGATTATAATATGAAAAAGCAAAGACTGTAATTCGTTATAGTAGAAATCTGTCGTTCTTTCATATTTAGTAATAATTGGCGAATTAAGATAACGAAAGTTTTCACGTAACTCTATCTAAGCGTCTCGTTAATTTCATACAATTTTATTTTAACAATTGTCTGAATAAAGTTATGACTTTTCGAACGAGATTGTCAGGAGCCACTACACCTGAAACTCTGAGGACCATAAACTCACAATAAAGTTTCTCGTTTTCTTAATATAAAACCTTGACCGAAGTATAGAAAGGGAACACTGTACAAATACAGGCTCCTATACTTCGTTCATGATACTCGTGTAAAACGTTAATACTATCCTACTCTTGTAAAAATAACGAAACAAGTAAATCCAGAAAAAAGAAAAAAAAAAACCAAGTAAACTCGGTGTTGTGTCTGAATATGTGTCCATTATATATCGTCTGCATGACGAACTATACCAAAATTATACCATCGAGAATTATTTAACCATAAGAGACTTAGATCGATCGAAAAATGTAGCGTAGCAAAGATTGATGTATCGTGTTAGTTTAGTCGAGTAGATGTGTGTCACAAGCCTCGTTAACGTGTATGAATTATAACCTAAAGCAATGTGAAACTCTTTAGTTAACGTAATACTCTAATATATATACCTATATATGACATAAATATATTTATTTTGTACTGAATGTATTTCACATTGATGTATCTTTTGCAAGCGTCAACTTTGACGCCACTTCGGACGTTATTAAAAAGTAAAAAGGAAAAAAAAAATATCAACGCTTTATTTTATGGATGTATTTTACCGCGGACTATGTAAATGTAGATTTTATATGTTGTAATAAAAGGATTTCTTTTTATATAGCTCGACTGACCCTTACGGTATTTCGTTGTAGATAATAAAGTTGTTCATAGTTTATTTATCTTTCGTTACTTAACGTCGTATAAATATTAGCGATAGAAATAGAAATGTAGAAATTGTAGCTGTAGGATTATATATATTAACTGCCTAAATACGTTTCAATTTTTGTGCTTTAATTTATTTATCCTCTTTTGCAAATACCTGATATCTCTTATTTTCATCGCCTTCGAATCTATTTTTATCGTGCTGTATAAGGTGAGTATTGAAATTACTACTATTGAAAAATTAATATTCCTTCAATATGTATTCAAATATCCCGCCAACGTTTAATTGAATGAAGCAATTCATAGATGGCGCGAAAATCTAAATATGAGACTATAGAACGTTTGGGTTTTAGTTTTAATAATACATAATTAAGTTTAGACCACTATATAACAGAAATAAAATTTTGAATATGTACAGTTATTAAAGAACAATAATAGAGACTGACAAGTTTAAGTATAAATGGACATTTCGAAAATTTAAGGTTAGTATTGAAATAGAGGTTAACATTTTAAAAATAATAAACATTTGACTTTGAATAAATTAACACTTAACATTTATTTATGAGACTTATATATTAAACTATTGCTTAATATAAGTTTACTTTATGAAACTCATGTTTAAAAAAGATTTTCAGTTAGTATTTTAGAAGACTAAT